CATCCCAAATCTAAATGTCATAAGCCGATAGACCAAGTCCATAGGTTCAAATTTCGTGTGGTAAATCCGACTACTCCGAAATCTAAACATTGTAAGTCCAGAGTCCCAAGTCCAAAGTCCATGGATTACATATTTGCGTAAATCAAATGTAAATCCCACGGATCCGACATCTGAACATTGTAAGTCCATATACCACAGTTCACTGATACAAATTTCGCGCGGTAAATCTTACAGATCCGAACTCTAAACAATAAATCCAAAGTCCGAAGTCCATAGTGTTTAAAGAACAGGTATCTAGAAACTACTACGTTAAAATTTAAACTCGAAAGCTCTCTAATTCACGTCCCTAAAATCCACACAGTCAAAGTTCCTAGGATCCCAAGCTCCACGCATCTAGAGTCCCCACCACCTTCATCTTTAGGACCCAAACCTCGCTACTTCGATCCAACGGAGGCTCCGAAGAACCCAATCCCTCGTCTCTCGAATCACTTAGCCATAACTCAAGTATACCATCAGATACGTCATAAAATCTACACGCGGAGAGTAGGCAAGCCGATTATTTAGAGGCTAAAACGGCGCGGCGTCGCTTTTCCTTTCACCCGTGCGCGGATTTTGGGGCCACGTTGTCTTTTACTTTCTACGCTACCGGCGACAGTGTAATTGTTCGTGCGTTCGAAAAATCCTACCACCGGCCCAATACATAGCTCCGTTTTTACGGATTAATGACACGGTGGAACGAGAGTCCGAACGGTCCAAGATTACAGGCCTAGGACGCTTGACCATCAGAAAACAAACCTGCAAACATCTGTTTCATCGATGCCAGCTACATTGTGTACATAAAGCCTCGCAATACCGACATGACGAAACGATTTTTATAATGATCCTGCGCGAGAGAAAGAATCCTCGAGTCCCTTTTCTCCTCTCCTCGAGGAGCACGCGACTCAAAGGAGGCACGGAAATCGTTTCACTGGCGTTTCGTTAAAATTGAATTCCACGTCTCTTTGTCCTCTCTCCTCTCCTCTCCTCCACTGTCCCGTTTTCATTTCGTTAGTCATTCAACGCGAGTATCTACAGCAGGGTTTCTCAACCATTTTTGGGACTTATGACTACTTTCTGGACATCGGTATGCTCTTTCGTTTCTTTGTCCTACTTTTTTCGTGTTATTCAAGAATTGGGATTCATAAAAAGAAGACTTGACATGTTTTTCAGTTTATATTCAGGTGTTGGACACAGTGGGAGTCCGTGTGGGCCCAATTGAGAAACCTGGAGCATAGTCTGTGACTTACAGAATTTCTCGGTCGTGTAATTTGGAAATAACAAATCTTGTCAAGAGAAAAAGAATTTTATTTAATAGGGGAAGATTAACACTGCACCTACCCAGGGTTCAAATGGTGATTTTTTAATTATTTATTGAAAATTATGCATTCGACTTTGTCACTCTGCTCATTTGTCTCTGCAATTTTTAATACAGGTATCATGTTTCATTTTTGGGAAACTATTTCTTACTTCATTTCTTCGACTACTATTCACTTGACTGGCCATGGTAGGTTTAGTGTTAATATCGTGTGATATTGTTCACAAAAATATCAATATTTCAATTATAATCAGACGAAGTAATAACCTATGCACTTAAAATTCTACAAAAACAAAGTCTGCAATAACACCAGCTGTTTTATTTTATTTTATTCTTACAGAAGATTAGCATAAAAATTTAAATACAACTATCAAGAAACACTGGGAACATATCACACGACTAACCGGCCATCACGGAGCACGAGCATCTTACAGCTTACCACAGATTATAATACATCATGACGTGAAAGTACGTGAAGTTTGTATGAAAGGATGAGTGCGGCAAGTATGTATGAAATTATTATGCGAGTGACTTTAGGCTAAAGTTGTTGTTATGGAAGCAGGTACGCGTGTAATGAACGTAGTCTGGTATGACCTAGGTATTTTAGCATACTCTATGGTCGAAGAGAGAACGAGGTAGAGAGGGCGTGTTAGATTAGTATAATATAATACAAAGCAAAAATTGAGAGAAGAAGTCTATCTGAACTAGCGTTCTATTTGAAAGAGAAAGAGAAAAGAGATATAGTATATTCCTACATTATACGTTATAATTCACACACAATTTTCCGTGGTTTAATAAAAATTTTGTGCAATTTATCGATATATTTATAGGGTAATAGCAATAGCAATGAGAAGGCGTTACGAGGCATTGGTCCTCTGGAAAGAAGAACAGGAAGCGATCTGAGTAGGTGCAAAGAAGCGAAAAAATTGCGGAGGAGGCGTCTATACAAAGAGAAAGCTGGAGTGGACGAAAAAAGGAATCGTCCCGGCGATATTTCCAACGAAGAGTGGATGACGAGCAGAGAGATTCGATCGGTCCGATTAATAAGGATCGCGTGAAAGTGCTGTTAAAACTCGGTTTTCTTCTCGAATTAATCGCATTAGCTGGGTAATTCCTGCGATTGCGGATGATCGGTTTTTTTTGCAGGAATACCGAGGAGTTATGCGCGCCGAAAGAGGAAGCGCGCGTGAATCGGATTGAAAGTCGAGGATCGAGATCGAAGCGAGACGGGAAACGATTTGCGTGTCGAAATGGATGCGAGAAAACGTGTCAAGCAATGGCTACGGTGATGACTTTGCATAATAAAATGCGCGAATGATTGCGAATTAATGGATATTTACACGTGGAACTGCGAGTGTCGGAATGTTATCGAAGATTTACTTAAAATGCAAATTAATTGAAAGGCGAAAGGAAGGAAAAGCGGAGAAAGAGTTCACGCTTCATATGGGATCGATAAATTTTAACCCCATAGCGAGTAGGTTCGAAAAATTTGTGTCAACGGTACTGTACACAGAATATGAGAAGAGAATTCCAAGATTATATTGGCAAAATTAGAAAGTACTTCGACTTATCGTAGATACGAGCCGTGGTGGCGCTAGTGAGTTACATGCCTTAAGACAAAAGTCCAAGTGTTAAATTTTAGTTAATTACTTGATAAATACATGTACAATAATTAAGATAAAACAGTTGGAATATCGTTTAAATTATCCTGACGTCTCGAAAGAATTTATTATTGAAAACTCAAAAAATAATTTTACATAATTATTTAAAGTAATAATTCTGAGATTTATTTTCTAAAAATTTGCCACAAAATAATAGAGTAAACGCCCATGTCATTTTGCAACCACCATCATAATTAAATTACGAACGCAATTAGTATGCGTGCACTATACTGTGATATATATAAATACCAAGAATTCCGTTGAAATTAAAAGCCAAATAAAAACTTCCCGACTAAGTGAATTTCCTTGTACCACAATGCACCAATACTTTGTACATCCACGGTATATTACACTCAACATGCACCCTCTTTAAACTCCATCCGACCAAGAGTATCCACATACCAACCCCAGAAGACAAGCTCCCCCCTCAGAAATCTCCCTCGAATCACGCCCATTGCCATCATAAATTAAAACCAGTCCATCGAGAACCCCTCTCGAATAATGAAACTCTCAGCACCCTTCGAATCCACCCTCTCGACCAACCCCATCCGTTAAAAAGACCAATTCTCCCCATCTGCGCCAGCCCGCCAGGCATCCCCGGTACCCTGAGTAACCCAAACTCGACTTCCTCGGCAAAAGACCGCTATCATCCGAGTCGTACCAACCTCTCCTTCCCCGCGACGCACAAATCTAGGCACTGCACAATGGCGTCCCTTAGTGGAGCCCAAAATGGACACCTTTACTCCGCGGTCGGTTAATCGTCGACAGAGTACCGGCGCTAGGGAACAGTTAGACATTTGAGGACCGGCTGAGAGCCTCGAGGAAAGGACGAAGAGGACCCCCGACAGGGCGACAAGGATCCCAAGGCAGGGAGAAGAGAGGGGGGGCTAAGAGACGAGTCCCGAAGCACGTAAATAGACAGCGAGGATGCGGAGGCGTGTGAACCGGGCTTTAGAGGCCCACGTGGCTGAAGAGGTGGGTGTGTCTCAGCTTCCGCATACTCCACGGTCAACACGTTATCTTCCTCGCGAAGACCAGCGTGTCCCCGTCACGCTTAATAGAAATTTTAATCAGTGTTCGTCCCCTCTGATCATTCCTAAAGCATCCAGAGTCAATGGGACACTTATTTATTTATTACCAGCGATGTCCCTAGTACCTAGTCCCAAGATTCTAGTAAGAGACTATCCAGTGAACAACAAAACTGAATGTATAATAGGTTAATATTTAAGCAGCAACAATTTTATGAAGAGAAATCGTGAATTAAAATGAAATTTGTGAGACAAATACTAAGGGCAAAGCCTGCACTTTTACACCCCTAATTTAATTCCTACTTAGAAATTTTGGAAGAAGAAAATAAAGACAGTTCTTCATTTAGAAAATTGTAAAAATTCAAAAAGATCAGGCATCTAGAATCTACTATGTTAAAATTTTAATTGGACACATCCCCAATCTACTCTCCTAAAATTCACAATAGTCAAAGTCCCTAGATTCCAAGCTCCACGCATCTAGAGTCCCCCACCTACATCCCCAGGACCCAAACAAACCCCACTACACTGATCGATCGGGAAAGCTCCAATCCCTCGTTTCTCGGATCATTTAGTCATTCATAGAAATTCACAGAAATACATACAGCAATGTACTAAATTTTTACGAATTAAATAATAATTTCTGCGGAAATTGGATGACCTGAGAACACTGACAGGCGAATGACGAAATGGGCAGAGACCAATTGGGTTAACACGGACCAGGTGACCGTGCAAATTATACGGACATTAAGGGAGAAGATAAGGACACCCGGACAGGCCACCTTTACGTGGTGTTTACGACGTGGAAAGAAAATGGCGCGTGACCAGCGCGGCGGTGACCGTTTGGGAGCAGGTTAACTATAGAAAACCGAGTCGTTAACCGAAACAATCAGGCAAACGGCACGATAAATAAGAAAGCGGGCGAGTAAGTGCGGGAAAAAGCGTAATTGTCGGACTTACCAGGAAGCGTGAGGCCGCACGTGAGAACGTGTTCCGGTATGTCGTGAATGGTCCTGGGCGCTACCACGTCGTCCACTCTCTTTTTCGTTCCTGAAACAGGAGACAACGGGGATCTCGTTACTCCCGCATCCTTTACGAATCCGATCCCCGGGGCTCGCGTTTGCATCTCAATCGACGAACGGAATCGTATACCAAGCAGATTTCGGTAATCCGATATAACGGCGTGCAGGAGGTTTGCGTAAAGTGTCCCTTCGTGACAGTTGCACAAATATGACCGCGATCCACCCGTGAAAGGATATCGGGTGACTTTTCCCAACCCCGATTCAAAAACCGGAGGAAGCGTTCCGCGACCCGAGCGCTGCTCCCAATGCCAACTGACCTATCGCAAAACCCGTAACGAACGCCACTCGTTCCCCAGGTGTATACCTGTCCCCGGGGCACCGCGAAATTCGCGCACAGGATTTCGTCGCGTTGTCACGTAATTAGATCCTTCCGGGGATCTACGTCGAGAGAGCTGGATTTGATTCGTTTCATCCATTTTTTGGCCTCACCCCTTTAGTGACGAATTATTCTTAATTTAACGTAACAGTGATTCCAAAACAATAATATTTGACGATTTTTCTTTCCTTTTATTGAAGAATTTTTATAATGAAGAGTTCTCTAAGTTATTCTGATTTTATTTTCACTTATAATAATCGCCATTTTTAAAAAACTAGACGTACACATATGTACCTATGATTATGAAAGTGGTCTAAGTCATAGACTTAAGAGGAACAATTTTATTATTTATTTCGTGTTGCATTTATTTATATTGCGATGAAATACATTTATTTTCTACAAAACAGTGAAGAATTGAATCGTTAGATTGAGTTTGTAGCTTTATCGTAATTAATTTTATAATTTATCACGTATCTAACACTAGAACTACCGATCTTTAATGGGTACCTAACTATAACGTGCACAGATTATAGTAATTTCAGTGGTTACGATGAATATGAGTGAACATATTGATTACAGGTCTTTCTTAATATGACTTGATACCAATTTTATTCTTAAAGCAGGTGTATGTGTGAGGTGATTGCAAAAAGGAAAATTCTGGGACCAGTCATTTTCACTGGGTTAGCAGTTCTAGTGTTAAAAGCCGAAGCTTTTAATCTTTCAGAGGCAAATATAAGCGACTTGGACCACTTTCATAATCATAGGCACATATGTACCAGTATCCCTGAAGTAGTTAATTCCAAAATCTTGGCCAACGACGAAGTTAGCTCTGTACAGTCAGCTTAGAAACTGAATACCATAAGAACAATAAAAAGAGTTCTCTCAAATATTGGAAAATTAATTATTCCTTTACCTGAACACTATTGTCATAAATTAATTATAATATAAATTATCTCGAATACCAGAGATCTTACTGCATGAAGCAACACGAAGTTTGCTACTCTCACGACGGACTTTAGAAAGAAAATAAAAGAGAAAAGGAAAGGAAATGGAAATATCCCCAGAAAGGAACATCCCCATCACGTTCGCCGATTTGACTCGAGAACCTAACCCTAAACCCCTAACGTCACGTTCGTGGGTTCGCTGATTTGCCTCGAACCTAACCCCCAATCTCACCTCTCAACCCCTGCCTGCCACCTTTCGACTTCGAGTGGCAATCGAAGTCGAAGCACGCAACTTTTCGCATCAGAATGACCATTCCGCGGGTCTGGATGCACTTTCTATCGCGCGACGTGGACAAATTAATTGCAGGCAATTAAGACGGCCGTGGCACTGCGCCGCGGCCACGGTTTATGGTTTATTGTGGCTGGCTTCACGGCTAAACACGGCGCGGCAAAAATTCCCTAGGAAAGTACCGCTACGCCGCGCAGCGGCGAGATTCGAATCGCGGAATGGGAATAGGAACGAAACGAACATCGCGGCGATGATTTAAGCATCCCGGAATTGTTTATGGACCGGCGAATTGCTATTGAATTTCGATGCTGATATTTTATTGTGCTTCGTGATCGCAAGCCCGATAAATTGTTTTTCGGAGGGGGAAGGTTCTGATCCTTGGCCGGCTATCTCGCGGCCCGTTCTCCCTATTTTTACGCGAGTCACGGAGAAATTGTGGAGTAAATTAGATACCGTTTTTACGCTATATCCTTCGTTCGTGTGACTTTTGATTATGTGTTTCTCGAATGATACATTGGGTTTGGGAAAGAGAAGGCTCTGGCTAGCTAGCTCATAGCAGGTCTGGGGAATTTTACACGTGCACGGAGAAATTCTGAAGTATATCCTGCGCCGTATTTTATTCTACCATTTTCCTAGAAGGTATTTTTAAATATTCATAAAGATCCGGATTTCTCGACTGCCTATTTTATTATACACAATTAGATAGGTTAGGTACCAAGTCCACACCAAGAAAAAATCTCATTGCAAATAACAGAAAAGAATTGAAAAATTTTCATCCTCAAATGCAACGAGTATCATGCATATACCCTCCTCCAAAAAATTATTATCAAGAAATTATGATACTAATCTCAAAATCAATTTTGAAAATACCTTTACTAATTCATTCATTTTACGAGCCTCAAATTGTTATAAAATTTGTATAATAAAAATTCATTAGAAAATATTTATTTTATTTTTCAATCACCGTTATGGAAATCAACACAGATTCGTTGAGCGTTCACGGAAAATTCGCAAGAAAGAAAAAGGGGGTAGAAAACAGGTAAATACCTTTGAGCGGAAATGCATTCCTAGATCCAGCTGCTAAGTGCACAGACACCAAAGGACTGAGTCCTAATCGGGGCCCAAGTTTCCGCGATATCAAATCATCCGCTTCCCGTGATTCCCCTAATCTAACGTTTCGCACGATTGCGAAACGACCACGTAAATTTCAACGGTCGATCTTGTTACGCGGAGGCGTTAATTGCGCGATAACGAGGCTGCTGGTTTCGCGAGACAATGGGGCCGCTGCATCGCGGAGGGCCACTCGCGGCAGGGCCGGTAAACAAAGGGGACTGGCGATAAGGGGCGCGGCAGGGATCCCGCTGCTTATCAATGACTTATCATCCACGATTTCGTGGAACTCGTCCATCATTATTACCAACTGTCTCGCGCAATCTTTCCTCCATTCTAGAGCTTATCTCCCTGCTCTGCGAGAGTGTCAGAGAAACGAGGGGCCCGGAGAGTGAATGGGTTCGATGAATGAGGGAAACTATGGAAAAATAGAATATCAGAGGAGGATGATAGAAGAGAAGAATAAACTATAATTCCTTATAATCTTGGTGTCTTTAGAGTTTCGAAGCGTGAAAATTTTGGTAAATTTAAGAAGCGGATTAAATAAAATAAAATGTATAGTGAGATCGAAAAATCGATCGAAGTATTTGGAATTTACGATTACAAATTGCATATTATTGTATAGTATTTCGTAACAACGTGTGCATATAAGACAGTGCACTGTTGAACCAACTAATATTCGCTATCGGTAGCACACGAGAATCCTATTTCAAATATCTCATTTCATCGATTTCCGCGTGCATACTGCTCCATTCATAATTCAACAATCCCTAAACTACGCAACAACGCGACACCCTGTAGCAAATTCCAAGTATCCCAATATATTTCGCCTCTCGTCATCATAACCTCCAAAAAACGCGAGAAAGGAACGGAAAAATACCGAAAAGCCATGAGAAAGTCACGATCCTCCGTGACAGATCTTACCAAACGATTATGATCCGCGGAATTGATGGAACTGCCGTGAAAAAAGCCATTCATGGTGGTATCCTTTCGCCAGGTGGCAGCGCGAGGCGACGAGGATCGTAAAACAGAAAGTCGCGAAAGGACGGAAAAAATCGGCAAGCTCGTAAGACGATCGTGGCTGAAAGTGAAATGGGAAAACAAGCCGGGGAAAAGAGAAAGGGCGAGAAAAGCAGGCGCACGCGATTCAGATGATCGGGCCGACATGTCGTCGATTAGAGGCTGAACATCCTAATTCATACCGAGGCGCCGATCACTAGATCTATCGAACGAACGCTTTCCAGTGGTAAATCGCGAGGAATCGCGTTCGCAACGTGTAATCGACGATCGTGATCGGAATCATCGAGCTGCACGATCGTCGAACAGGTGTCGAGAAGCTGGGGTTGCACGCACGCGAGAAAAATTGTACGAGGCGTGTTCGACAGGTTAGAATCTGCTGGGACGCGGCGAGGAAAAGATGGTGACCGCGCAGAGGGCGCCACAGCTGCGCCGCCATCGCTGTCCAACGCCGCTTCAACTGCGCAGTAATCATCGGTGCACTCGATGAAAGTTTTATACGATTTTTACATCGATGATAATAATTCTCCGGCTCATTTACCGTTTGTATGTTTCTCGATCGTTTAATGAGTCCGCCTGTGCCGCCATTATTAAGCGTTTATAAGGCACTTAAGGGGTCGTTGATTGTGAGAACGCGAAAACAATATAATCGCGACATTTATGGTCGCTGTTGTGTCATAATGTAATTAAATATTTCCAGACTATTAACCTTTTGCACTCGAGAGCAAGCCTGAATGGCCGCTTATTTTTACGAACGGCGAGTAAGCGGCGACAATAACCGTCGTTGTGTAACAGTACATAAAATATCGGAATAAAACAGCTCGGCGCGTCCGTTTATAAAGCGTTTCTTGTTATTCTATTGTAAAAAAGTAATAAACTTTCTACTCATCTGCAGAGAAAAGGAAGAAAAAGAACGAGAAGCATGGAATCGTTTATGCGCAACAAGATAGCGATATGTTTAATATGGATTCAATCCCAGTTTGAATTTCGCGCCAAATTGCTCGGCGATTAGTTGGTGGTAATCTAATTAGCATCTACAAATTTTCTCCGAGGATAGATATGCAAATTACACTCGAGGCGATTGGGTTCGCCGCATGGGTTAGGGAACCCTAGGTTGCGAGTACGACACGCGCGCATGCGCGCACGCAGACGGGACCAGGCGTCGCGTGGGTCAACGATCGTTCGGTTTTCCGGGCGATCGCGTAGTTCGTGCCGATTGCGCGACGTCACGCGAAGGAAACAGCTGACGCGCATGCGCGCGACGCCAGCGCCCCTCGAGATACCCAACGGTT